AACATATATCTGATTGCAGGGGTACTTGTCTGCTATCCTATCACATGGTCTGTTCTGGCAAGAATCTAATAATAAAAATTCAGTGTTCATATTCAGTTGATGCAAGTCACTTGACACTGACCTCACTTGGCAGTCCCACAGGCCCTTGATCCATACACTGCACCAGTCCCCCCCACCCCACCCAATCTTGGGTGGGGTGGAGACAATGTCAGCGAGAGGTGTGTTGTACCTACAAAACCATCAGTGATGGTTGAAGGAAGAAGAGCATGTTTGCTTCCATGGACACATCAGAAAAGTTAAGGCCCTAGGACCCTGGATTCTGGCTCTGTTTGCTCCCATAAGGCCATCTCATCACAAGAAGGCTTTCAAAAGGCAGGGGCAAAGGCCTTGGTCTTTGCACATCTTGATTATCTACCACCACCTGCTAAACTTAACCATGGCTTCCACAATCACCACATCCAGTATCCTGCACTGCAGAGCAGGTGAGGGACAAAACATAGCTAAGGCACAGAGGAAAGCAGGGAAGAGCCCCTGCTTTCCACCTGGCACCAGAACAGGGGGCAACCAGGATATGCAGCTGAAGTGGGCCATCCTCAATGTGTATGCAATGATAGATGAAGAGGAAGGGGATACTGGTGTAAGTTCCTTTATCCTCTTCATGTGGAACATGGGAATCCTAAATTTAACACAGGATTGGACCAAGGACAAGGAGATCATGGTGGGACTGATGGACCCAACAAAGAGGATCCACACCATGCCTTTGGAGGAAGTGTAAGTGAGATTTAATATTACTTCAAGGTGTTGCTGACATGGTACAGGCTTGGGAAACCTGGGATGGATGATGGGTTCCTTCATGGGCTCATTGAAGAAATGGCAGCAAATGGAGAATTCCTGGAAGAGGAGTTCAGAACAAATAGGAGGCTGAAGAACAAACAGTTTGAAGTGGCCGGGATCCATGGTTGGGCAGCAGATGAAGTAACAGGAGTGAGAGGGTTATCTTTGTATCATGTTCCTACTAACTCAGAATTACTTAGGAACTGATGTATGCCATCACTTGGAAAGGCAAAACATTAGCCCATGATGTGAGGGACTGCCTGAATAAAACTGGTTTCTGGTTTATGCTGAGCCTATGAGTAACAAGGAGCCTGCAGCAGGGAGCATTATGCACCATCTGTGGCATATGCCTCATTCAGAATTGGCATGAGTACCTGATCTATTGTCTCATGTCCAGGTTGATGGTGAAAGGAGTTCAGGAGAGGGTGTCAGCACCTCTTGTGGGAATTTTGGCATGGAATTCCTGATGCAGAACGACCGCTGAAAGGAAAGGAAGTGATGGTGTGGGACCCCAGTTGTCTTTTCTGAGCAGAGACAGAGAGATGATGGTGCATCTCACATGGGAGCAGCTGATGTCCTCATCTTCCCTGGTATGTGATGTGCTGTAATCCCACAGCATGTTAGGGCAACACA